ACATAGTGTATGGAGGGAAGAATGAAAGCTGGGACTTCAGAAGCTGTTATGTGGAAATAATGTATACGTGATAGAGCCATGCTGCAGCTAGATTATGGTTGCAGCACGAATGGTCGGCTCGGCGGCATGGCTTGACCGGTAAAAGACCATGTTATCACAGAACACCAGCGTAAAATAAAAAATTTATGTTGATGTGTTTCTAAAAGTGAGTATGGACAACCGGAGTCACTTTGTACAGGATTCGACGCATTCCATCTTAGTCCTCAGGGATTACAACACATCTGCATTTTGAATCTTAATCGTGGATAAACGTAGATGGCGGTGAAGATATCTATAGGCCATCGCCATCCACTTACAACCAGGTGGAATGTGTGCTCGTTTATCGAGATCTAGAAATCACCCATGCGAAGCCGCGGTGGATCACTAGTTTAAATATAAAAATCAATTGCTTTCCGTTAGTCTCGCTAAAACTCGAAAATGGCTTGATCGATTTTGATGAAATTTTTTGTGTGTGTTTGAATGACGTGAATGAAAATGAGGTGGCGCTGTTGTCGAGATCCAGAAACCACCCGTGCGGAGCCGGGCGGGTACCTAGTCTATAATAAAAGATATTTTAAATATTTAAAGGTGATTTTTACTTTTTAATGGATGTTTCATTCAAGACCCCTTTAAGTGGACTCAGTGGCATAGGGTGATTTTCGCCGCCCGGAGACGCCTGAACATTCGCCCCCACTCCCCTTTTTTTAATTATTTTAATTTAAAATTTCAATATTTTAGTCAACGGACCTAATACCAACCACTGAAGCAAGAAACTCACAGGAAGTTATTTTTTTTAAAAGGAGCTTGATCTAAGTTAAGTTCTACATTACTACAGGCATTAAAAAGGTATGTTTTTGCGCTTCATTTTGCAGCTGTTGGAATCGATCATGAATTTCAGCAGTTACTCTGTCTACTGAAGTAAACATTGTTCGCCTCAATTCGTTCTCGTACGATAATCCAACATTTAGGTACATTTTCGTCGCCAAAATATGCCTCCCCCTGATTCGTCTTGGGTGGGGGTTCAAAAGAAATTCCAAGCACTTCACATACGTTTTTAGCATGTCGAAGAGAATCGTTCACAAATTCCTCACGTTTTTCTCCTAATACTGTCTGTAAAGCACTTATTTTCTGAGCACACTGAAGTATGTTCAGTTCCTCTGTTTGCAAATACTTTTGAGTATCATTAACTTCATGCTGTAACGGTTGGCAGAAGCCAAAGTAACATAAAAATAAAAATGATTGCATAGCGACTAACAAACTTCCTGCACCCATCCGTTTGTTCAAGCTTTCATTCGGTTCCGTCAGTTTTTTCAGTATAGTCAAAGTTTCTTTGTAATGATGTCTAATGGAATTTACAGCATCACCTCTAGTACTCCAAAATGTGTCCTGATCTGATTTCAAATTTTTACCTGTGGCTACAATAACTTCCCACTGGTTCGTTTATATAGAAAAAAATGTAACAGCGTTGTAGCGTGCCAGAGAAAGTCACCGACATTACCTCCACAGCAGCTGCACGCAGGTGAAAGATCTTTAGTGAATGGTTTGAGCAAAGACTAACTCGGCATAGGGATTGACATCCTTTATCCGCTGTTGCGCATATGTGTGGCATTCAGCCATCGTGGCAGTGTTATCGTAAGCTTATCTTCTACAATTTATGATATCGAGGCCGTCAGCCTTAAGTTTGCTTACTATCATGTCACTTATACCTTCTGCAGTTTTGCTTTTAGTTTCAATGAAATCTATACTCGTAAAATATACCTCAACTCGCTTGAGGATTGTCCGGTGGGTCTGTCAAAAATCATGGAATGTTTGGCCTTATGGACACGAGCAAAATTACTTGACGAACTTTTTTTCCTAAAATGTCTATCAACTCCTTTTGAATTTCAGGTTACATATAAGTAAAAGACATGTTTTGGTCCATTTTCATTCTTACTAAATGATCTCTGAGAACAGATTTACAACTCGTATTTTATACTACACTTAAAACTTTCAGTTTTACTACGAATTGCTGTATCGTAGTTTAATTACGAATTCCGAAATTCATTCCGAAATAAGTTTTCGTGTATTGAAAATAAGAATTTAAATATTAAAAAGCTATTAAAAAGCTTTGCGGCATTTCTTGGGCCTATGTTCAGCAGTGATGGTTTTGTTGGATTGAATAACTGAGTAGGTACTCGCTGTCACTTGTTGGTTCGTTCGCGTTTCGGCGGCTCTACACGTTGGCCAACACAGTGGCGTGTAGTGGCCAATAGCATTGGCCATCGTGTAGATGCGCACAAGTTGGCGCGAGATCCGTGTTGTGTCGGTTTTTTACAAAAGATCAAAGGATTGTTGGCAGAGTTTGGCCGCCGCGTCCACACGTTGGGCGCGCGTTTAGTTTGCTACAAGCTCCCAGAGTGATTACACGCACCTGATTTAAATTTTGTATTCACGCTATGTAGGGTGGGTGCCCCTTTTACCAGCCTTTTTGTGCCAATTTCAACTTTAAACATTCCTACTACTTTAATTAGCCACTTAATTATTTTTAAACATTTGTTTCAATGGATAAGCTATTCAAAAAAATGAACATTTATTTACAATCAGACTACCACAAGAAAAATTTTAAAATAAAAAAAAAATGCAGCAGCATAGTTGTAGCACGAATGGGGCGGTTCGACCAGGGAAGGACCACGCTCTCACAGAATACCAGCGTGAAATAGTAGCTTAATGCTGTTGTGTTTCGTATGGTGAGTGTAGAGAACCGGACATCCTTTATACTGGAAACGAGGCATTCCATCTTAGTCCTCACGGGCACAAAATAAATAATAGTACTACGTATCACGGGTGACAACGCATCTGCATTTTGATTCGTAATCGAGGATAGATGTAGATATCTGTGGGCCACAGCAACCACTTACCATCAGGTGGACTGTGTGCTCGTTTGTCGAAAAAACGTCGATTTCTTATAATTTAATCGCTAATGCAAGTTTTCTAATCATCATCATCATTCCAGCCCTTCACAAGTCTACTACTGAACATCCTCCTCCACAGACTACCGCAAAGCATGGTCCTGAGCCACTTTACTTGATTTTTTCATTTATGTTCTAAGTTATAATTAGTACCTACTATTAAATCAGTGTTAGGTAATTATATTGATTGTTTGTTTTTGTCTTTCTCAAAAAATAATTAAATTACCAAATAAATTATAAGGTGTTTTTATATACATCGAATGTCTGATAGAAAAGCAAGTACATCTTTGGCTAAACTAAAATCAAAACCCAATTTTATACATAGACGAATCGATTATAACTCCTTTTACTTTAAAATAAGTTAAGTTCTAATTAATGGTATTTATTCCAGTTTATGATGCATGTAAGGAATAAATAAAGCTAAATAAATAAATAAAATTCCCGTTTATGACAGCCCTGATTTATATTACATGGCTGAAATAAAGTACTTTTTATTAGGTACATAAAACCAAATATCAGCCTGACGGCTGACAATATGCACTTCATACATTTCGTATATCTATTTACAGCCCCATTAATATTCACTATTCTTTTATAAAAACGTTACCCCCACACTAGGATTTTCTCCTGTATCGCGGAGGCAGTTTACAAACATAAATTGCACAAGGACACACATCCAGACCCATACCAGACACCACATACAAATACTTATTCCGTGCGGGATTCAAACCCGCGGCCCCCGGCGCAGCCACTCATTGCTAAGCCACTGCGCCACGGAGTCGTCGTCTAAAATAAAGTATTCGCCCGCACTTTGGCCTGAACCGAAGCAAACTGAACGACCTTCAAACGTGTGGATGCCATCAGAAAGTCTTGGCCAATATCTTCGCCACTACATTTGCCACTGTGTTGGCCAACGTGTAGAGCCGCCGTTACGAACCCTTGCGGTTTCGCTTGGCACGCTTGAAAAAATCGTGGCGCTTGCCGCCGCCCCCTTTCAATGCCCCGGGCGGGCGGGGCTTCGTTTCTTATTTTCCCACCATATTTTGTAAAGAATAAGAACGATTAAAGAATATAAAGTAGTGAAAGACTATTAGAAGCATTACGACAACATGTTCTTGAATAAAACTATTATTTACGGATTTTATCGCGTTTAATTACTTTAATTTATTTTTATTATTATCCCGACGTTTCGGGTGCTTTACAGCACCCATGGTCACTGGGGGGACTGAGATGTTTGACGTCCCAATGTCATAGTTAGTCCGACTACCTTCAGTTTTTTTTAATATTAATTTTTGGTCCGATTTACGCATGTAATGCACACATGTTCTTGTTACGAAAATATGACACATGATTAGCGTTGCGTTAACTAAATAATACTTTGTATGTAAAAATCAATTCAGTCAAGATTATGAATAAAATAATGTTAATATTGTTGCCATACAGAATTTTAAACTCGGTCATCAGTTTCTATTTCTACTTGTGTTTACGCTTGTTTGTGCTTATTTCACAAAATATAACTTTAAAACGCCTCTGTTTGCGATACAAAAGTGACGTAAGCAGTATTTCATGAAAATTTACGAGTAGTAGCATTAATTTAAACAAAGGTTTATATGGTAAGGTTCATTAACTTTTAATTAAATATTTGATGATATTATTTTAGGTAAAATATTTTTCGTTTACATCATATTACACTTAATACTAGATTGTTTCCGCGGCATTGCTCACTTTCACGTGGATTTTGCTTTATCAACATCATTATGATTCCATGCAAAATTCAGTACCTGCCTCTCTGTCATAAATGTTCTTTTCAAACAAAGCAAGTAATATAATAAATATTCTATAAATATGAGCTCAATCGGTCAAGATCTAACAGACGTACTACGAGTTAAGTTCCTAAATAAATTAGATATATTTTACAATTCAATAAATGGTCGTCATGTATATAGAGCTAAAATGATGTAAAAAAATTAAAAATAAAAAAATCTGTAAAAATATAAGAAAATGTGGACTCACAATGCATTTCTTGGATCAAATGGTCGGTATAACATGAGGGGTATCGGAAGTGTTGCAAATATTAAAGACAGCACCAGGAACAAAGTAAACTGCAAAAGAATAAACATAAATATAATTTGTGTTTTTTTTAACATATGGCTAGTGAACAGCGTATTTTGCATCTGAATCTTCAGTTCCGAGTTTGTATCCTAAGAGGAGGCCATCGAAAGAAAAAAATATATCTTTTAAATACATCGTTCGACCTTTTCTCCGAGTTTGGCAAGCTTGCACAAAAGGCAAGCATTGCGCTGTGACATACACAACAATAATATCAATATATCAAGGTGCTAATTTCAATGTCTTGCTATCCGATTCGAGCTAAGTAGTGTCATCATTAAATGTACTTTAATTTTATCTAATAAGTATCTTATTTTTTATTTTGAATTGAAAGAATAAAAGTAAAATAAAATATCCGCAAAATATGTCCCACTTCTCAGGCCTACTATCAGGTTTTTAGAGTGCAAGGAATAATCCCCCGCTAGCATCCAGTGGAGCACTGGAAGCTTGCATACTGCACATGTCCTCGAAAATGTTTAATTTAATATCTCAGACATACACAGGTTCCCCACGGACATATGCTGATTATGTTAAACTGAGTCACTATGACAGTGTTATCATAAAGTTAAACACTTTTATGATAACACATATTTAAGGAATTAACATGAGTATTCTGAATGTGTAATGTATTACAAACACGTGTGTATATCTGTCTGATATAAACGTATTTTTATTATTGTTACTCTTTATAAATAAAATGTTAATTCTCTTAATGAATATAATAATTACACTAACCTTTATATAATATCGGGCTATGGAACTTATTGTGAACAATATGATGAGAAGAGCCATTATACAGCCCAGCACAACGTTGAAAGCCGCCATTGCTCTGTTTACAAGCAAAAACAAAGAAATTAAAAATAATAATAAAAGGACAAAAACAGCAGAAAAAGTTTCTTATTCATGTACATAATTTTAATCGAAATATTGAACCAAATACTGTTATTTGTTACGAGAAAAGGTATGTTTCTACACATTAAGAAATATTATGGCTGAGGTGACGTCAAGCATGGACGCTTTTGAATAATTGCAGTCGTGAACATGTTCATGTTCGCCTCCGGCATTGCATTAAATATGATAGACCACAAATCCTCGCAAAAGTTCACACCTATTCTGATCAAGGATGATTCATGAGGCAGCAGTTACAATAACTAGTTTCACTGTATATCCAAAGTAACAACGATAATTTATACCATCGTTATCGTTAGTCGCCAACAATCGCGATTTAAATATTGACATCTACAATTCGACTATCAATTCGGTCTGAGACCGATCAAAAAGGTCTCTAAAAGTTAATTTACAGTTCTCAATATTTACAATCACGGCTATAAAAATCTCGTATAATTTAAATAAGGAGATTAAAATGTATTTTTTATTTAACATATTAAAATCTATTTATCCATTATACTCGTAGACTATAAAAATCCACTGCTGAACATTTTGCCATAGTTGCCACGCTTGGCAGTGGGTTAGCAGCCGCAGTTTTTTATAATTACCACTACACGGTTTAACGTATTAAAATAATTTTATATTATTCTGACAAAGGACAGTTACACAATAACAGCCTATCAAAAGGTCACTGCAGAACATAGGCCTCCCCCATATATTGCTCATAAAGGTGGATGCCCAAGTTACTACATCAGACAGGCGGGCTACATCATGCACTGCTACTACACAGCAGTGGCATACATTATGGTCTTATTATTAACTAAAAACAGTTTCTAAAAAATTGGCTCTAGGGGTCATTATAATAAACCTGGCGCCAAACACGTGAGCAAAATTTGAGCATTCATTTCAAAAACATTTGAGTAATTTTGTGAGCGTAAATTAGGTTTTGGGTCCCACCTCTCATCCCACTTTTCGTAATTTTAGTTATCTCGAGTCCCGGGACTTTCAGATCGAGACTTGAGACGAGACAAAATTGTCGAAATTGTTACGTAATCTTTTTTATTTTCAAATAATTGAAGGAGTCTGGCACCATCTGGTGGTTCAATGTGTAATTACTTGGTCTTCTACGTAGCTACTGAGTGCATAACACAATAAATGCGTTTGTAGTTGTCATTGCTTAACGTTATTAAAATTAGTATGTATTTTAATTAAGTTCGTTTTATAACTATAAGATTTATCTGTTTAAAAGTGGCGGTTTTAGGGCAAAGGAGAGTTATCTATGCTGCCCGTTGCTCCAATCAGTTGTAGGCTTCCTCACAATGGTTTTGCTTACCGCCGAGCACTTAGTAAATTAGAACAACTTAACGTATGTGGAGATTGAATTTGTGTGTGAAATGTCTTAAAAGAAATAAACAAAGCAATTATTAAGACTGAAATTAAGTTTAAACTTATTAAGATTTAATTTTCTGTTTAATAAATGTTGATTTTTACAAAAACAATGCCTTTATAACATGTTTCATAATAAAATATTTCATTAAAATTCTTCAAAAAAGGCTTAACTCTCTTAAAAAAATTTTTTTCTTAAGTCTCGAAGTCCCGGGAATTTGATTATTGGCTATCTCGTGTCCCGGGACTTTGAAATTGTCGGGAATTCCCAAACCCTGGCGTAAATGTAGATGCCAGATTTGACTTGCCTTTTAAACATGATAAGTGATAGAATCAGGCGTTACTTTGCGGAAATCCATTATAATAAAAAATAAAAATATAAATTTCTTCGCAACCTTCCGCTAAACAAATACAATGGTGTGTCTTACCTGGATTGAAGAGCAACTCCCGCCCTACCTCAATTGCATGCACTAACTCCGTCACCACTAGTCCCAGCACCACTACTCCCAACACCACTATTCCAGGCAAGACACACCATCGACGATAATACGACACGTGTTTCGCCTCTATACGAGACATCTTCAGGTAATGTAGACTCTACGGCGGCTGACCGCTAAGATCTTAGCTAGCTCTTAGCTTAGATTATATTTTTATTTTTTATTAAACGTGATAAAGCCACGCTCCAGCTATTTTACGGTTGTAGCACGAATGGGTCGGCTCGACCGGGAAAGGACCACGCTGTCACAGAATACTAGCATAAAAATGTAGCATAATGCTGTTGTGTTTCATATGTTGAGTGTAGAGAACCGGACAACCATTCTACTGGAATCAAGGCATTCCATCTTAGTCCTCAGGGGTGACAACGCATTCTGCATTTTGATTCTTAATCGAGGGTAAATGTAGATGTCTATGGGCCACAGCATCCACTTACCATCAGGTGGACTGTGTGCTCGTTTGTAACCCTTATTCTAAAAAAAGGCTTGTTTTTAAACATTTGCATATTGCACTAATATTCGCCAATGTGGCGACGGTTGCCTTAATTACATCATTTTATATTACCATATAATTTAATGTTATTAAGATTATAATAAAGAATGGTATTTACCACGTACTCGATGGTAAAGGAAATCATATTTTCGATTTTATGATATATGTTTTTCAAATTCTATATAGGCTCTGCATAAAGTATTTTGACAAATTTTACATACCTATGTATTGGATAAAATTAATTTCACGGATTTATATTATTATTTAGAAATATTAAAAGTAAACGCTACGAAATCCGTGAAATTAGTTTTATGCAATATAGAAGTAATTAAGATTCGATATACTTTTAAAGTTAGAATGTAAATATAAATAAATGTAACATAGAATAAAATATAGAATTAGATAACGGCATCATTACCCCACGGATCTTTATATCTACGAGATTTTTAATATGTGTGAGCTCTGAAGGACCAAGCCGGGAATTCACGAAATGAATTACTAAGGATTTAGTAGTAGACCTAAATCAATTGTAGACTAAATCCCGGAATTTGTAAAAAAATATATAAAAAGTTACAGCTCTTAAAATGTGGTTCCCCAGTTGAAATAGATTTCGGAAAGTATCATAAAATTAATGTGATTATAGATATTTAGTAAAGAATTTGTAAAGCTTGTTTTACTAATTAATATAGTAAGTAATTTAGGTTCACTACTAAATCATAAGCAATTCATTTTACGAATTCCCAGCTTTGTCCCTTAGTGCTCACACACATGGTTATGAGGAGACTGTGGTTATGAGGCAATCTATGGGGCGGGTCTATGTTGAGCAGTGGATTTAATAGTCTGTAATGGTAACAGTAACGGTAACTAATCAGTAATCACCTTGCAGAGTCCTTGGGATAATTAAAAAAATATATTTTTAATTATTTAAAAAATGTTTATTACTTCATTTGCTTTTACACAAATTACAATGTTATTGCATAAAATATTATGAATTTCATATATTACCGTTCTGTTATTGTTCACACACAATACCGTAAACCATATTCACACTCTTTTATATTTTACATTCTTAACTTATTTTTTATAATCATACCTGAAATAAAAACAGGAACGTTGCGCGTTGTGTACCTATCTACACCCTGAGTTTGAGCACTGGCCGAGCCGGCTTAAACCTTAAAGGCTCTTGTACACGCTAAGAAAAGTCGCCGGCTCTATGCAAGAATTCGTGTCATTTTTACACACGAACTGTGGACAATGCTCCGGCGCTGACAAAGAAAAAAATCTTGTCTGCGCTAGACAAGACGAGCTCTATATTTATCCTTTTTCGATTTGTGTAAAGTGGATAACTTTGCAAAAACATTGCTCTACCTAGAAGTACCTGCATACTACGTTTGGGATAACAGAAAGTTCCATAAGAGAAAGGGAGGAGCAAACGTTAAAAGCTGGTCAGGGGTCTAAAAAGAGCACGTTCTATGCAGGATTTGTACTGTTTATCCGAACAATACAGAATGCTTTCACCTTCGCATGCTTCTTCAAGAGATCCGGGGCCCAATTTTGTTTGAAACGTTAAAAACTGTAGATGGTCATGTCTATTCCAGGTTCCAATCAGCGTGCAAAGCTCTCGGCTTGCTTGAAGGTGATCAGCATTTGTCCGCAGCAATGGAAAAGGCAGCCCAAGCAGCACACAAGCGTTATGGACATTAATATACCAGTCAATAAAGAACTTAGAGTTCTGTTAGAAACCTATAAGGGTATTAAAAAGAGGTTGTATCCTTATAAGAATGGTTAGTAGTTAGTTAGTACCAGTTCTGGCTCACTGAGTCAGAAGTGGTACAAGTACAACGTTCGTCGACTCACGATCCTAAAAAAAAAACAAAGGGTTTTGGCATGCTCTGATCATGAATCTGCGGTCCATTTTTCATTTTTGTGTAGGATGCACGGTTCCGGAGATGTGCAGATCAATTAACTCTTATCTAATTGATATCCGGTGAGGGCCCCCCGTCATTCGCCCCATTGATATTTATCTATTGTTCATTGAATACCGTCATTGTCTATTCGAGCGTCGGATTATCAGTGCTATTATATTATACTCCTTTGTTCCTAACTGCAACGGTAATCTGAATCATCAATAAAATACATTACCGAATTTCGTTACTATTTTTATTTACGAAATACAAAATCTTATTACTTATTATCTATAAAATAGGAGCGAAACATCTCATCCCCTAAAATATCGTTGTACAATGTGTTCCCTGTAAATATACTCGTAAAACTATGTATTGAACATCCCTGAAACTTATATAGCAAATACATTAAGCAATATTCGCCACAAACTGAAGTCCACTCATTCTGAATCCTATCAACATTCCAGTTCCATCTTTTACAATTCCTTTTTAAAAACTCTAGATGATATCGTACAGGTGCTCGTCCATATGAATCAAAATATTGACCGACGTCATTCGTATCGATATATAAAGCTACCCAATGTGACCCTGGTTTATCATCTGTATCCAAATTGCATATTATATACGTTGGCACGTGGGTGTACATGGGCAGTCTATTGGCAGC